ATTCCTATAACCTTACAGAGGTGTATACTACTCGATTGTTAGTTGTGCAACTAAACAGTTGTATTGGCTGCAAAACAATCGATAATCGCATACAGTTGAGCGATAGTTTAGTCAAAGGCTCGCTCTAAGATGTAACTTTGAATATATTTTTTTATTCTTATAAAATGCTTGTTTGATCAAGTTTCAGTATCTAAGCTTAAACTTTCCGCAGCCGGTGCTTGTTCTCACTTCAATAACTTGGCGGTATCCATTAGTTTAGCTAGGATTTGCGCGTCGACGTGAATTTTGATGAAATTTATGTCATAATGTGTTTGAAATTAATCTTTGTTGCTACTTAACTTATTTTAACAAAAAAAAAAAACAATTAAAAGAATTTACTAAAACCCTTTCAAGTTATGTATCAGTAGAATAGGTTGGTTGTGCCCGTTGCAAAAAGACCACACAGAAGACAGGTGTAAAGTCGAAGTAATTCCTTTGCTGGTGAATGTGCCGGAGGTCTAATTTAAATTCTCTTTTCCTTACCGCCCTTTGCGTAGTAAAGGATGGGAAGGGAAACTGAATCTCATGAATGACACCCATAGACAGGCATTATCCTCTTACTCCGCGTCCTATGGTGATTAGGTAATGCAAATAAGGATAATTAATTATTTACGGCTTACTCACGTATACTTTTTTCCGGTTACGGCACCGACCAGTTTCAGACCCTACGGGGGTCCTTCTTCGGCGGCGATTTTTTAATGTGTGTTACGGCAGAGTTATGCTGTAACACACATTAAAAAAAACATACGGACGAATTGAGTACCTCCTTATTTTGGGAAGTCGGTCAAAAAAGAAGATATTACACACAAACATCTACATTAACAAAATTTGACAAAGCTGTTAGCTTAACTATTTTGATGTATTCTGTATTCTTGAAGGTTAGGCTGTGCTATAAATCAATACCATTTATCTTTATTTAAAATAATATTAACTTTGTTATTGTGATCCAACACATTATTTAAATATTTATGTCATGGTTTTAAAATGTCTGTATTCTACTTGTTATGTTAATAATCGGACAGTAGTCAGATGTAAAAAAAAGGGAGTTGCATTGGCTTGACGACAAGACGGCCATATTGGTAGTGGCATGGATACATGGAAAAACGGTGTTATTGGTAAGGTTATTCTGTGCAAATTGGAAGAAAACATAAGAAGTTGAGGCGTCGGTAGCTCAGTGGTTTAAGCACTTGACTTGTAATCTACAGGTCTTGGGTTCAATCCGCACTTGGCCTGCGTGGTTGACTATGGCCTAGTCACCCCTTACTTTAGGGTAGGCTCCGAGTCTCTCGGTGTAGATTTATAATGAGTTGGTGATGATAAGAGGTAAAGAAGACTATATTTTATTAAAGCATAACATGGCTGTGACGCCCATAGAGGTTAAATAAAAGTGATTACTTTGTTAGAAAAAAATATATATCTTTAATCTAGAGTAACATTAATCCGCCTGTTGCGAGTAACAAAAGGCCGGAAAATAATTAATTACTTCGCTAACTTTTCGTATCCATTAACTGTGTTGATGTTACTTTACTGCTTTTTGGATCAAACAGTTGTTACTAAGGCTTTTAATATTGATGATTTTACTATCGAATCACTTGTAGTAAACATTAAAAAGGATAATCAGAACCTATTTTACTACCTTTCCATATTTATATAAAGAATGGGAAGGGAAAGTGGAGTGGAGTTTGGTAACGAAGAAGACGCAAAGAAAGGGAAAATAGTGTTACGTGTAAATATACTGTAAATATTATTTAGATGAATAAAAAGATAACTAACCTGGAATAAATCGTTTTAATTCTCAACAATTGGTGTCAGAAGTGGGATGATTATAATGTACTCGTTATAAATTTAGAATTAAAACGATTTATTCCAGGTTAGTTATCTTTTTATTCATCCCCCTGACTTAACAACAACACGTTCCCATCGTAACCGCTTACGGTTTTTATATCCAAAGAGTATCAAAATTATATAACATGTCACAAATTAAAAAGCTAATTATCAAAGAATATTTAGAGTATATTTACACGTAACAATATCCTTCTATGTGTCTCCTCCTCCCTCGATTAAGGGTAGGCAACTGTAATCGGTGATTAAATAATTATTTTAGCATTAGCACTTTGGTCTAGTCAATTTAGCTCATAGAAATCTGTGACTAAACAGTTGTGCGTGGGCTTTAAAAATGTTTGAAGAAATATACAACGTGGTATATGTTTTCGAGATATAAATCCTCCATTTGTTGGTTTCTCATATCCGTAGGCAATTATTGTAACAGGAAATTACTTTGAGAGTTCCACTGTTTTACTTCAGCGGCACGTTTTACATGACGCTTTACTTTTGAATCTTTATTACAAAGAGGAAATATTTGTATATCAGTATTAAAAAATAAACTGAAAAAATAATCTATTAAAATAAACTACAAAAAATCTATTAAAATAATTATCAAAATCGGTCTACTAGTAGCGTAGTTATGCCGTAACACACATAAACAAAAAAAATACAGACGAATTGAGTACCTCCTTCTTTGGGAAGTCGGTCAAAAAATACTAAGTATCCCTGTGAAACATATATTAGTAAATGTTTATTTAATTCCACGCGGACAAAGTCGAGAGCAAAACTTACGCTTTCATACTAAAGAAGTAATATAAAAGTTACAGTTATTATTAACGGGAGATAATCTTTAAGGGAAAGTGGATTTGAAGGAGGTGGAGATACAGGAAGGGGAGATATGTCCCCTTCCTGCATCTCTTTTAATATCCGACTCCACTTCCGTCGACTTGGGGTCTGCATCTGAAATTGCGGTTATCCTATGGGCAGCGGTTACCTTGCTATTTTGGAAGACTCAAGTGCCGCTTCTACGTTTGCCACCTTATGTTTTAATAATAATAATAATAATAATATTCCGCAGCCGGTGGTGCTCTATTTTTTATATAACATATTTTATTTTATTTTTATATTCTTGTAAAATGTATTATATAGAGAGTAAGAAATAAAGATATATGGAGAGATAATAATAATAATAATAAAAGATTTCTTTTGATGGAAACCATTTTATGTGAAATTTGACTAACTAACTTCTAGTGTCACTAATCTCTAAAGTTACGAAAGTTTAGATGCATGAATGTTTGTTAGGGTTTGTAGCCTAAACTGCTGAATCTAGATGAAATTTGGCATACATATAGATGTTATACTGGAAGAACATATAGGATAGTTACTTACTTTTGTTTATTTTAAATACATGCGGACGTAGTCACGGGCGAAAGCTAATCTTCCAATCTTACTTAAATTATAAATAAAAATATTATAAATGTGACAGTTTCGATGGATGGATGTTTGTTAGAGTTTGTAACCTAAATGGCTGAACGGACTTCGATGAAATTTGGCTTAGATGTAGAGTTTTTTTACTTTTTTTTTAGTTCCACGCGGACGGAGTCACGGGCGAAAGCTAGTATATTAAATTGAATTACAATAACTAGCTACTCTATATATTATAAGAAAATATAAACTTAAGTTAGAAGCAATTTACTTGAAAGATAAACAAACGTTACGTTTACAAATAAGACAACTAAGCAAAATATTTACATTTCGTAACCACATGGAAATGTATAAGTGCAGTTCGTGCAAAACTTAAGCTCGCGTCTACTTAATGTAAGTGCTTATTATAACAGTAATTGTTAAGTGTGCTTAGTGCTACCATCATCATTATGCAGGCGTTGGTAGCATTTGCACTCGTTATTATATTAATGTTTTACTTTGTGCTTTTAAATTCTATAGATAGTAAGCGACTTCTTTATCTATACTATTATAATAAAGCGTAAACACACACTTCTTTGTTGCCTAAAATGTCAGCAATTACAGCACGTTTTTGAATAATTATTCCTTTAATAAACAACCTTATACTTACGAGACGCTTTAGGCTATACATTTTCACGCTATTAAATTTAGAGGTTAAATGAATTGGCAGAACCTTCTTGTGCGAAAGGGTCCATAAACTAAAAGCTGCCAACATCAAGGAAGCAAAATTGCCCTGGTAATTGGTATCCAATGTCAAAGGCCTTATTTTTATGTACATTTGAATTTTGAAAATAAAGTTTAGTTTAGTTATTTTGAAAATAGATTTAGGGTAGAGGCCGGTTGGCGACCGCCCAGGGCGTTGGTTAATTAGCGAAATATTGTCTCAAAATACCCTATTTAAATCACCTCCTAGTGGTAAAAAGGAGGGCGTTGTAGACATCTCGCCCAGGGCTCTAATAACTCTAAAACGTATATTGTCACTTGGATGTTTCGAGACGTTTAGCAATCGAAAACAATACAGTTAATTCAGAAGTTGTGGGATATTATTCAAACTACAATAGTGACGTAAATATTTGAATTTATGTAAAGGCGGCCTATTGTTTATCTTATTGATATAAATGCGAAAGTTTAGGATGGATGTTTGTTAGAGTTTGTAGCCTTAACTGGTGAACGGAGCTTGATGAAATTCGGCATAGATGAGGAGGATAGTCTCAAAAAACACATAGGCTACTTAAGTTCCTTTTTAATTTGTTACGTACGAAGTGGCGGGCGTAAGCTAGTGTATTTAAAAAAAAACTTCCATTAGAATAAACGAAAAGACATCTAAAACGAATTTTATAAACGTAAATGACTTAAATATGTGTGTAAACATTATAAATTAAGTGTTAAAACTTAGATTTCAATACAAATTTGTATTTGAAATCTCATATTTATGACGAGATTTGGCGCATGCGCGGTTGTCCGCAGCCTGTCACCCTTAGGGTGGGGGTAGAAGACCTTTAGATGCGGCAGGGGCTGCACGCTTCATCGTTTAAAACTACGCGAGTGTTGAAAAAAAAATGCAGTGAGGTGTCTAATAAAAATTGACGTAAAAGTATCAAGTGATATTTTCTGAACCAGTGAAGTGAACAAAATTGGATGTTACCGACGAATAATTTATAAACGGACTGTTTTTTTATTGTTTTTCTTCTGCGATGTGTGTTCGAAAGTGAGAGGGTAAGTTTTTTGAATTACAATACGATTGTCTCTTGAAACTTTTACGTAACGTATTCTAGTAGTTTAAATAAATTACTTTGTTTTGTTTGAGAAGGAATTTTTAGACTGTTTTTTCTTTTAATTATCGCAATTGGTATTAATAAAAACTGGTAATTAATGTAAGTGTTTTGTAAGTGTAGTTATCAATTTATTTTTTACGTAATTTTAATTACATAACGTCCTATTGTTGAAATATAGACGTTAAATAAAAATCATACTTTAAGAGCTCCGAAGTATACATTTAAAAAAACTACGCAGCGATTTTTCATCGGATAGCTGCGTTCTTTTAATGATGCGTTTTATTTCTCAATCACGGTTTTACAGATTTAGTTAATATATATTCCATTAAATACAAAAGCTGCCAGTTATAAAATTAAAAATTGATATTTATGCACTAAAATACAGGAAAAAAAAGGATTTATTGTGATTTTACTAAGTAAAACTGGTAGTGTCCTGGACATAAATCGAGTAGATTGGCGACGTTAAAAACACGCAGTGTAAAAAATAGCGCAACCATAAAACATGTCTGCGATGTATGGATTTGTATAGAAGTGGCCCGTAGACTTAATTAATTGAAACACTAACTTCTCGACCATATTTTTATCTTTACTAATATTTTAAAGAGGAAAGATTTGCATTTTTAATTTTTTTTATTTTTGTATGTATTGAAATAAATCAAAAACTACTGGACCGATTTAAAAAAATCTTGCACCATTAAAAAGCTGTTTTATTACGTCACTGAGTAAAAGAGTTTCTATTTTTACTATTTTATTAATTTCACGCGGGTGAAGTCGCGAGCAACATGTAGTCTATAATATTATAGCAAGAGTTTCAATGGATATTTGTTACTGTCAATACGTTTCAACATACTTTTTTTTATTATAAGGTGATAAATGGCGAATCGGCCGCTGCCCATAGACATCTGCAATTACAGTTGTCTACCCTTAATTAATGGAGAAAGAGACGCACATAAAAAAGATATTTCCCCTACTAATACGTCTCCATTATTAAATCCAATTTCCCGATTTGAATGAAATTAGGCACAGATCTGACTGGAATAATCCGCTACGTTGTTTTTTAATTCCGCTAGAAGACATGTGCAAAAGCCAGTGTTATTTATACAAAAACGTTTATGTTTGAGTTGGTTTGTTTTGTCCTTAATTTAATATGAAACTTTCTAAAAGCTCAGTTTAGAAAGTTCCCTCGTCTCGGTAATTTAATTGTGGAATGGTGTCCATTGAAATACTTTTATTTCAGTATACTATTACATTAAGGAGGGGAAAGGTGACTTCCTTTTTCTATACCTCCTCCTTTCTGTACATTAAAGGTGAATGACTATTTAGGGTTTGCGCAATTGCAGATATACGCTGCATTTCGCTTTGATAAAACCAAGAGGCTTTTTCAATTGCCTTATTTTAGCAAAAAAATGCAATAATTAAATCTTCGTTGCGACTACATAGACTATATAATACTATTCAAGTTATGTGTCTTTTTTACGATTACTATGTAACTGGCCAGTAACATTTTTCGTAACGTTTTTTTTTTAAATCGTTATCCAGACCTTTAAATATATCGTAATACAAAATGCATTCAGAATTACCTTGAAACTAAGCTTTGTAACAAATGAACGCTTAATTTTATACATCTCTTGGCAGTAACAAAGAAATTCTTCTGTTTCTTAGAGCGGGTCTTTGTAAATTAGAAAATAAATAACTAATGCGACGTGAAATAAAACATCTTGGAAATCTGTGGTTTCTTTCTTATTTGTTTTCGAATGAGACTTGCATTTCCGTACAACTTAAACAATTCTCTGCTTTTTATACCTAAACTAGATTTCGTGTGTAATTAAAAAAGTAAGTAGCCTGTGTATTCAGAATATCCTCTACATCTATGCCAAATTACAACGAGATTTATTCAGCCGTTTTCAAACTTCAGGAGGGATTTTTTTTGTGACTGAATGGCCACTGTTTTTCTTGAAGAGGCATTTACAGATTCACCGTGCTTGAGGTGGCCGAGCCCAGATGGCGCCTAGCCTAAACCTCGTTTATGAGTAACTAAGCTCGAGGGCTCCCTCAAGAGCCTCGGCACGAGCCGTTACTTTATTATTATTACTTGGATTGGTTCAGGAGGGATGGATTGCGTGAAAGGTGACATGTTCAAAAAGGGATTGATGACTGAGATGACGTATGATAGAGTTATGTGGAGGACAAAAGGCTATTGCTCCCTACGGGAATAGGATAAGGAGGATGATGATGGTTTGTTCAGCCGTTTAGGCTACAAACTCGAACAAACATACATCGATATAAACTTTCGCATTCATAATATTAGCGAGATTACTTTATATCAGGATACTAGCTGTTCCCGTGCGACTTCATCAGCATAAAATTATTCTATTGTTAACATGTGTCAAATTGTCAATAGTAAATGTCAAAATGACATGACAAAACTTGGCAATCATGCTTCCTTGATGTTGGCAGCAACTTATGGTTTCTTTCCCACATTAGGGTTTTTATCCAAAATATTTACCCCCTAAGTTTAACAGCGTGAAATATATAGCCTAAAGCGTAACGTAAGTGTAGGGCTTTTTATTAAAAAAAGAATTTTTCGAAAATATGCCGTAGTTGCTAGCATCTTAGGCAACAAAAAAGTGTGTGTTTACGCTTTATTATAATAGTATAGATTGTTAAAATATGACGCGTATGTCCCGTACATCTTCTTCCAGTATATCTAAATTCAATATGTCCCAGACGTAGGAATAATTATCCCGGAGTTAGGAAGGGCTTTAATTATAGGACTGTACACTTACGTTCAAAAATCGGAGGGGTGAGCAGACGTTATGGAGTTTTCTATTGTAGATGTACTTTCATAGTCTGGTTCGCTTATTCTGTTTACTGCGTTTAAATGCTCGGGACTTTAACATACTATATATGTGAATTTTGTTAAATAAAAATCTTTTGTATGAAATATAAAACAAAGAAGTATAAGTAGACAATATTCGTAAGTTTCTACGCTGTTAACTAAATTTATACTGTTGTGGTTTTTACAAATATAATGTTGGTAAGATACGGGTTTCTTACCACGATTGGGTTTTAGCTCACGTCAGCCCGTGAACATGGCGCATGCAACTGTGCCGAAATATCGTGAGTTTTACAACCGTTGCGACTTACGAACATTATATTCTACGCTGTTAGTTGCCAGCAAAATCATTTTTTTTCTTTATACGATTAACGTTATTGCCAAATCAAAAAAAAAATAGGATTAATTTACAGTTAGGGCATTTCGCGGTGCTCAACATACCGAAAATGTGACTTGTTCATTACAACAAGACTATTGCTACTTGATGTAAATAACCAATTATGTTACCCAAATAATGGCATAATAAGCAATTAACCGTATACTTTCTATTGGTTATTGTACCGCGTCGTCTCTGCATACAAAATTGTGAATGAAAATAATGTAGCGTTGCAATGCTTAGTAGATATGCTTTAAATATTTTATTAAATTACATTTTTTTTACTTAATTACTGTCATGTTTTTTCTTTTGTTATTTCTGATTGTGTTCTTAAGGATTAAATATATTTTTAATTCATTTTTTCATGTGTAACATTGACTGAATCCTCGATAGTACATTAACAAAACACCACATCAACATTTTTATACGCAATAACTCACCACTTGTTAAGCTCTTGGATTATAAATCGTTGTTCAGACAGTCCGGTATTACCCCAAGAGGAAAAACGTTAGGAAAAGTAAGACAATGACGAAGGGGAAAACAAACTGGACATGTTTGTTACTTCCGACCCTTTTAGGATTCAGTGACCTCTAGTATTGTTGCGAATTAGGATCTGAAAGGTATAGGATAAAGGGATACGATGGATTAATCCTAATAAACACAATTTACATGGTATTTAAAATAGGGTTTTTAATTTAGAGCACACTTGAAACTAAAATATCGCACAACTGTTTAGTCTCGCTTAGATTCCTATGACCTTATATGGAAGTGCGCGACAACTCGATTTTTTATTGTGCAAAACAGATGAATTGACTGCGAAACAATCGACAATCGCACAATAGTTGTGGGATTTTTTAGTCAAAAGTGGCGCCCGTTTATATTGATTCAGTCTTAAAATTATCTGGAGTTTCTTTTATCCTTATTATATTAATAGTCTTTTATGATATTTATCTATAGTTTGGAAAAGAAAAAGCCCAGGGGACCACATTAATTCGCCTAAATAGGTAGCTAAGGGTGTATACATCCGCTTTTGTGACCTCGTCACCTATCCATACTAGTATTATAAGAGAAAAAATTTGTATTTTTGTATGTATTGAAATAACTCTAAAACTTCTGGACCGATTTTAAAAATTCTTTCACCATTAGAAAGCTAATTTATTTGTGAGTAACATGAGCTATATTTTAATTTTCACACGAACGAAGTCGCGAGCAACAGCTGCGCTATAATAGACAGAGGAAGAATTATACAGAAAGAGGATATTTCCTCAACCTATGCATAATCTCCTCCCCCACTACTACTACCCCTTCACCCTTTCGTTATAATAAAAGGATGTTAACGGGGTAGAATGAAAATGATGCCTCCGGCACGCACATTTTTCAGAAAGAATGCGGAATTACTTTGACTAGGCGCCTGTCTTCTGTGTAGTCTTGTTATATTATTGGTCGAGCCGACCCACTAAATCGCAGATATTGGCTTTACCCCTTTTAAGAAAAGGATTACGGATTGTTTAATATATTAAAAAACTAGCGACTCCTTCCGCGTTGAATTAAAAAATCGAGTAGCCTTTGTGTTCTTCCAGACTATCCTCTACATCTATACCAAATTTCATCGAAATCCATTCAGCTGTTTAGGCGACAAACTCTAACAAACATCCATCTATCTAAACTTTCGCATTTATATTAGTATGATAGCGTATAGATTTTATAAAATACACTGATCGTAAAAATG